TCTGGTCTGGTGCTGGTAAATTCTTTCAGGTTTTGTTTATCTGAGAATGTTCTTGTCTTTTCTTCCCACCTGAAAGATAATCTTGCCGGGTACAGTATTCTTGGCTGAAACTGGTTTTCTCTTAACACTTTGAATATATTTTCTCATTCTCTCCTCGCTCGCATTGTTTCCGATGAGAGATCTGCTGTTAGCCTGATGGGATGTCCTTTGTAGGTAACTTGATGTTTTTTCTCTTGCTGATCTTAGTATCTTGTCTTTGACTGTGGTTTTCGTCAACCTGGCTATAATATGTCTTGGAGAAGATCTTCTTGGGTTGATTCTATTTGGGGTCCTTTGTATTTCTTGGGTCTGGATCTTCGAATGCCTCTCTAGGTTTGGAAAGTTTTCTTGTAGAATTTCATGGAATAGATTATCAATGCCCTTATGGGTTTCTTCACCTTCTGGAATGCCAATCATCCGGATATTTGGACGTTTGATGGTATCTAGTACTTCTCGTATATTATTCTCAAATTTTGGGGCCATTTTCTCAGTCTGCATGGTGGATTTTTCTAGGCCAGCCATTTTCTCTTCTACATCTGAGATTCTATTTTCTGAATGATCTAGTCTGCTTTTAATACTTTCAAGGGAGATTTTGACTTCCTGTATTATAGACTTCATCTCTAACAGTTCCGTTTGACTCTTTTGTAAAGCATGTAATTCCTCTTTTAGACCTTGCAAGAATTTCCTCACCTCCTGGAACTCGTCAACTTCTTTCTCCTTTCTCTTTAGCAGTTCATTGTCTCTCTTCTCTTCCATCTCTGTTAGCATCAACATTATGAATGCCATGCCATCCTCTATTTTCCTTTTGGGATTTTGGGCATGCATGCACATGTGACCAGTGTGAGTTTCAAGCCTCCAGGTCTGGGACTTGAACTGCAGTCAGCCATGTGGGAGTCCAGCAACATAACTATTAGACCATTTGCTGGTCCCAGTTCTTTTTTAAAAAATTTTAAGTATTTTTTTCTTTTTCATGTGTCTAGTTATCCTTGTTTTTTATATTTTGATGATTATGATTTTTATTTTTGTAAGTTCTCTTATCTTTGAATTGCCTGGTTTTTCATAATAGTAGCTCCAGCATCTCAACTATATATACTTTAAAATAAGTTTATTTAAACAACAAGTTATTTACTTAACTTGATGGGAAAACTATCTAGGAATTTTTTTTTTTTTTTGAGAGGTTTATTTGCGTTAGGGCTCATGCATTCACCAGATGGACAGAGACAGAGAGACAGAAAGCGAGAAATCACCCCCCAGGGAGAATGGGCACGCCACAATCCCTTCTCCTCCATTCTCCTCTCGGGATCTTGGGCATGCACGCACATGCACCCAGCGTGAGTTTTTTTTAAGCCACTGGGTCCAGGACTCGAATTGCAGTTGACTACATAGGAGTCCAGTGACATAGCCATTACGCTTACTGCTGGTCCCATGGATTTTTTTTTTTTAAAGAGTAATTTACTTCTGCTTAAAGACAGATTGTCTTACATGTAACAGCTATGTACAAGAAGTTATGAAATTGTCTTTGGTTTTAGAATGATAAGTGAAAAAACATTAAAATTTTTCAATCATTCAAGATATGCAAGGAATTTTATGTTGTTTTTCTTTTTTTGCTAAAACGGTAAAATAACAATTGAATATAAAGATAAGTGGTGAATGAGTGTAACACTAATGAAGAAAGGGGATATTTTCACAGAACCAGTATTTTCCCTGTCCCATCTCTATTTAATGTCACTCAAAACATACCAGTGGGCATTTAGTTTTTAAAAAAATGCAATATGCTTATGCACATACACCAGTTATTTTATTTTCAATAAAGGAATGGAGAAGAAAAAAATGAAAGAATAGAGAAAACTATACTGAAGTAGTCATGATGTGGTTTTCTAATTGAGAATGTATTCTTCATCTGTAAGAACAGGTTCTGGAGTAAAGTATCAGGTTCCCTTTTTAGTAAACACCTCCTGCCTACTGTTGGAACACATCAGTTATATCTTCATCCTTCATTTTTAACTATGCAAGTGTGTCTGTTTCATTGATTTGCTACCCATCAAAACAGAATTCTATCTGCCTATTGATCAACCCTGTCATTCACAATAGGCTTTCAGTAGTCTACTAAGTGCTGTATAACTCTTAATCTTATACACCGTAAACCCATCCTGCCCTGGCACCTTCAAATTAATATGATTGTGGTGATCAGTATTAACTCCTTCCTTGGGCTTTTCATTGATCGTGGTGAGCACTGGAATCTCCTTGGCTGCCCGTTCACAAGGGAGGTACCACGTCCTCACTGAATGAGCATATAAGCAGTACCACAGGGGCAGTTAAGATGCTCCATCATATTTTAAATTTCTTTTAAAACTACTTTTACCTATTAAATATATCCATTTTCTTCTCTTTTAAAAATATTTATTCAATTTTAATTATTATTATTATTTCAATTTGCCACAGGGCATACATGCTCAGGGGGGAGAGAGAGAGAGAGAGAGAGAGAGAGAGAGAAAGCAAGAAAGAAAGAAAGAAAGGTCCAGAACTTGCACCATGATTGGCAGTGTGGGAGTCCAGCACCTCCAACCAACCACTTGCTGGCCCCTCTTTGTTCTTTTCTTAATTGCCAGAAACATGTGCATTTTCAAGAAAGAAGCTAACAGTGAATGGGATAAGAAAGCACTCCCCAGTAGGGTATAGTTACACTACAATCCTTTCTCGTCCCTCCACACACACACATGCACCAAGCATGTTTTTAAGCCTCCAGGATCAAGAATTGACCCAAGGTCAATGTGGGATCTGGCTCCCTCAACCATGAATCTGCAGGGGTTAGCCCAACATACCCATTTTCTATTCTGCAATGCTTCTAGTATCTGAAAATCTGGGGTTCTGCTCTGTCATTGGTTCTTTGTGCTGGCTGTTACTTGTATGGTCTTGTTTTTTTTTTTTTTTTTTTTTTTTTAATGTGTTCTGATTTTTATTATGAATTCACATTCGTTAGTATTGTATTTATGGGAATTTTTTTTGAATACAAGGCTGAGGATCTTTTAATGTCCAGGAAGCTGAGAGAGCATCTCTCCCAGGTCTACTTTATATTAACATTATTGGCTTGGGGATTTTTAGGACTTGACAAAAGTATCATTTCATGCTTAGTTTGAAAGTTTACTTTTTTCTGGCTTTGTAGGGCTTGTGACATGAATGCTTGCCTTGTCTGCTTTTCCTTCTATTCCTTTTATGAAACTACCATATCTTATTCTTACTATACTTATTATCCAGACTGTAGAACTGTATATCTGAAATGTAAGGAAATTTTTGAATATATTATAGTCCTCTTAACTAGGAGGTATATTTAGGAGGTATAACATTATTTTCTTTTACATTTCAGGTTAATGCTGATGTCCCTGTACAATGTAAGCATCAATTTGAAAGGCTTGAAATACATCAGTGAGAGTCCAGGATTCATCCCTTTGCTGTGGTGGCTTTTGAGTGGTAAGGCGGGTAGATAGCTATACAACTCTTGCACAGTGTATGTACCTGTTCCTCTGTAACTGAAGAGAGTCTTAAAATATTAGAAATTAGGATTGATAATCTTAAAATGTATTTCTTTAAAAAAAGATTTCAAGTTAAAGAAAGTTCATTAGTATGCTAACTTGTTTCTATTTCTGAACTATTGCTTTCAATTTAGTTACTATTTACTGGTGATTCTACAACACAAATCAGAACCACTTATAAAATAGCATCAATCTCTCCTATTCTTTATGAATAGTACAGTACTATTTGTAGCATATATGCCTCTAAATATTAGATAAGGGAGAAGTCCAGATATTAAAGAATTGGAATAAGAAGAAATTAGAGAGAAAGTACAGTTTTGAGGCTACCTACCTCCCCACACACAATGTATGTGCTTTAATATGTTTTTTAAAATAAAAATCTGTATTTACTACTTTCCTTGTTCTTTACCCTATTACCATTTTAAGTTAAATTTTTAATCCTGGGATTGGATGTTGGCTGAGTGGTGAATCACAGTCCTCTATGAGGCTAACCCAAATGGGAGGGCTCTGGGTCATATTCAGGGTCCTTAAGTATGTCAGGTATGCATACCTGATCATCGTCAGGCAGACCATGATCTGGTCTGGCTGAGGCTGAGGTGGATTGCAGTATTAGGGTCCTGTTGGGAGTACTGTTTCTCTCGCTCTCCCCTCTCTGTTTCTCTTACTCATGGAAGAAATAAATAAACTTAAAAAAAGTAAGTGCTTACTGAATTCTTAAATAAGATTTTGTCCCACTGTCATTATGATTTTTAAACTATGTATTTCATAAGTGCTATGATTTGAATATTTCCACCAAAACTCATGCTGTAACTTGCCATTGTAACAGTATTAAGAGGTAGGGTATTTGATAGGTGATTAGGTTACGAGGGCCCTATCCTCATGAATGGAATAATGTCATCATCACAGGAGTATGTTAATTATTGTAAGACAGGGGTTGTTATGAAAGTGAGCCTGACTCAGTTCTTCTCTCTGTCTTATGTGCTTGCTTCTACCTTCCATCTTTCCATCATGAGGATGGTTCTTGGCAGATATTGGTACCATGTTCTTGGACTTCCCAGCTCCAAAACTATGAGCCAAATAAACTTTCGTTCTTTGTAAACTATCTGGTCTTGGGTATTGTTATAGCACCAGAAAATAGACTTAAGTTAATGTATACATTTCACTTAAATATGAAAAAAAAGACTTTTTTTTTTTTGCGTAATGCAAATTAAGCTTTATTTTAATTTTATTATTTTTAGTTTTTAAAATTTTATTTATGATAGAAAGCTCATATATGCCTAAGTGAGGAAGAGGGCAGGGTCTGGTCACACTGTGATCTTCTTCCTTTAGCCCTCCAAACTCTGAAGATCTTGGGCACATACTCACATGTCCAGTGCTTTTTGGCCAGTCAAATGAGCAATTCAAAACTGCGTTCAGCCAGGTTGTTCCCAGTGCTATAGTCCCCAACATATAGTTGCTATATGTCCCATAGCCTCTGTGCCACAGAAACTGGGCCTAAAATGTTTTTGAGCTTCAGTTCCACTTCATGATGAATGCTTTTTAAAAACAGCTTTATTGAGGCATACTTGGCATGCAGTAAGCTACATGTATTTAAAATGAGCAATTTATAGGTTTTGACTACCTGTAAAATCTTTGCCACAATCAAGATAATGAGCAAACCCATCAGCCCTCAGAAGTACTTTATGCCCCTTTGTGGTTCTTCATCCTTGTTCTTTGTTCCTCTCTTTCCAGTAAGCCACTTGTTTCCTTTCTGCATTGTATTTTTTTAACAGATTTATATCAATGGATTATACAGTTTTTATTATGTCTTGCTTAGCTTCTTTGACTCAGCATAATTATTTTGAGATCCGTTCATGTTGGTGTGTGTATTAGTAGTTCAATACTTATTATTGCTAAATAGTATTCCATTATGTGGCTGTACCACAATTGGTGTGTGTATTCAGCTGTTGACAGACATTTGGGTCATCTCTAGCTTTTGACTATTACAGATAAAGGTGCCATGAGAGTTGTACAAGTCTGCATGGACATGTGCTTTCATTTCTTTTGAGTAAATCCCTTGGGGGAATGTCTGGTTACAGGTAGTTGTATGTTAGTTTTTATTGAACTGCCAAATTGTTATCCAAAATGAATGTGTCAGTTAACACTCCCACCAGCAATGTATTAGTGTTCTACTTGCTGTGTAGCCTCTCCAGTACTTGGCATGGTCATTCTGTTTTACATAGACATTCTAGTAGGGTTATAAAAGTACCTCAGCATGGTTTGAATTTGCATTTTTACTGTAACTGCTGATAAAGAGCATCTTTTCTTGTGCTTATTTGCCATCCATTCATCTTTTTTGATTATTTATCTGTTCATATTTTTTGCCCATTAAAAAATACTGGGTTGTTTTTTTTCTTATTGAGTATTGAGAGTTCTTTATGTTTTCTGAATATGAATCCTTTAGATATATGGGAAAAATATTTTCTCTCAGTTTGTGGCTTATCCTTTATGAATAGAGTGTTTTCTGAAGAGCAGAGGTTCTTAATTCTGATAAAATTTAACATATTATTCTTTTATTATATAAACTGTGCATTTGGTGTAGAAATCAAGTTACAAAGGTTTTCTAATATGCTTTTTTCTAATATCTTTATCATTTTCCACTTTACATGTAAGCATGTGATCCATTCTTAGTTAGATTTAGTTAGATTTAGTTTAGGGGTTGTTCCCTCCCCCTCTCCCCTGCAAAAAAGGCTGTCTAGTTGATACAGCACCATTTAAAAAGATTATTTTATTTAACTTTATTTACTTACTCAATCTAACCAGAGAGGGACACACACACACACACACACACAGAAAGTGAGAGAGTAAGCCTCCAGGTCTGGTACTGGACTGCGGTTGGCCATGTGGGAGTCCAGTGCCCTTAACCACCATGCCACTGCCAGCCCCAGCACCATTTGTTTTAAGGGCACCTTTCTCTAGGGAATTGCCTTTGTCCTTTTATCTAAATCAATTGGCAGTATATATGAAGGTCTAACTGCATTTCGTTCTATTCCATTGATCTGTTTTTATAACATTATGCCAGTACCATACTTCATAATAAATCTTGCTAGCTTTATAATAAATCTTAAAGCCAGGTGTAATATAAATCCTCCAACTTCATTTCTCTTTTTCACAGCTATTCGGCTGTTTTTAAACCCTTTCGTCTTCCATATGAATTGTGAATCAGCATGTCATTTTATACCAAAAATAATTCTGCTGGAATTTTTATTGGGATTGTGTTGAATCAAATCAGTTGGGGGAGAACTGATTATTTAGCAATATTGAACCCTCCAGTTTATGACTGCAAGTGTGTATCCTTGGTTACTTAGCTCTTTGGGGGCACAAGGGTTTCTCTTGTCTCTTCATACCTTATAAACAGAAGAACTGACCTGGTTCTCTTTTTAAGGATATATGTAGGGAACCTCCTTAGGAGATAGAGCTGCTGTCTCTCTCCAGATAAAAGGTTGGGCTTGTTCATACTTATGCAGTAAAGAGTGCCCTCTAGGGCAGAGGACAGGCAGACTAACTACCCACTATAAAAGGTCTGGGCTCCCTGAGCTTGGAGCTTATCTCTTGTGGTACAGCCCATGGCATGTGCATGTTCCTGTGGAACTGGGTATTGAACTGGCACAAATGCTGCTACTGAGGCTTTGAGTGTTGCTGTGAGTAGTACAATTCTTTGTCTCAAGAGTTAATATCCTCTACCAGTACCCATGAACTGTAGCATGCTAACTTGTTGGCTTGCCAGTAGGGTAAAGCCCTAGACCTTTCACATTTAAGAGCAGGTTGAAGGCATTATGTTTGTACTCCATGGTAATAGTTATGAACCAGGATTGAATACTTGACTAAATAGTTTTCTCTTGAAAATCAGTGAATAAGATGGTTTTTGCACCTGACCTACACGATAACCATTCAGGTTGGTTGTTACAGGCCATGTGCAAGCAGAAACTGAGCAAGAGTGGTAGTGATGAGAGGAGGTAGATCATTGAATAAGAATACCCAAGACTGTGAGCCCCTGGTTTAGGTACTTTACATATGGGTATACTCACTCATTTATTTCTGTCAATATTCTTTTTTTTTTTTTTCTTTCTTGGAGAGGTTTTCACTATAGGGCGCATGCGCTCGCCAGACAGACAGAGACAGACAGAGAGACAGAAAGCGAGAAATCACCCCCCAGGGGGAATGGTCACGACGCAATCTCTTCTCCCCCATTCTCCTCTCGGGATCTTGGGCACGCACGCACACACGCCCAGTGTGAGTTTTAAGCCACCGGGTCCAGGACGTGAACTGTGGTCGACTACGTGGGAGTCCAGCGACATAGCCATTATGCGCTAACTGTCAGTATTCTTTAAGTCAGCATGGATGAGGAAGCTGAGGCACATAGAGGTGAAATAGCCTGACCACGGTTAGACAGCTGCTGTGTTGTGAAGCTGTGACTGAAACACTGACTGCCTTGCTCCAAACCACAGTCATGAATGCTACTCCCAGGAAGTGCCTCAGAGATGGGAGCTTGTGTTCTGGTGACTTTGTGCCTTAGTTGCTTTCATAACTGACTGCTTACTTCAGAGACAATTGCCTGTCTCTATTTAGACTAGCTTGCCATCAGTGATACTTCATAGTCTTCTGTGAGTTGCTTACTTTCTCATAAAAAGAGGAGTTATGTCCCGACCCGGGGGGACAGCCGAACAGGTTTCCTGAGTGAAGGAGTGAGAGCCGGGACAAGCGGCGTAGTGTTACAGCACGGAGACGACAGTGTCGTCCGTTTATTGTGGGCAGCACGGTACAGCACAGAGACGACGCAGTGTCACAGCTCTTAAGGGTCGCGTCGTCTACTGTGAGCAGCACGGAGACGACGCGGTGTCACAGCTCTTCAGGGTCATCCGGAGACGATGTAGTGTTACAGCTCTTCAGGGTCTCCCA